CAATGCATGACATGACATGACATGACATTACCTTACATCGTGCGCTATTTCATTGCATCACATCACTTCGTATACTCTAAATATTCGTTCGTGTAGTGCTAGACATGGTTCTTCTCAAGATGGATGGAGTGCTCAGGAATCGCGACCGACTAAATAAAGGGATTCAGCGACGGCGCTGGTGGACAATTCTCGTAAGAATCGCATCCTTCTGGGCTTCCTTGCGGCCCATGCGGCTACAGCAAGATACCTGTTCCAGTTCTGAGCCACAGACTGCAGAGTTGAATTTTAGAGCCGTTTCTGCGGACCGGAATTGCTTTGCTTTGCTATGCTTGCAGACGCTTTAGCAAGCGTCTCACAGGGTGAATTCAGTCCCCCTCTCCACCGTTCAGTTTTGCTTGAAAGCGGCATCGGGCTTCCGGAGGACTGGTCTGCTAGCGCAGCACGCAGCAATAGTCATGGATCACAGCAGAGTTCACTGGTGCATTTTGCAGCATTGCAGTCCACAATGCAGGTAGCCCTGTCTCTGTGTCCTTTAACCGAGCTGGTGCCAAACATACCGCAGGCGCGCAGTTTTTCAGCGCGCAGATTGTCAAGCAAACAGACGCTTGCGGTTCAAAATGCTTGCCATCATATGTCTGGGCATCACATTCACCTGATCGTTTGAATTTGCATACAAGTGCAGTGAACAGAACTTGTCGACCATGCATTGTCTCTAATGAGCCTTGACACACTCCACGTAGCAGCCGGAGCAATCTCTCAAGTGTTTTCACGTGGGCTGACGATCCGCCTGCATGTCGAAACAGCGTGAAAACATGGCGAGAGGTGCAAAGAATGACTTCTGCCGTCTACTTCCTCAGTTGGAGCATCCAGTCACCAGTCTTGCTTCAGCACTTCAGCTTGTCGACGTGGCTGTCTCCGCAAGAGTCTTCGCTCCACGGCAGATATCCAACAGATGCCTGAGATCCCGTGAGCTGGTTGTGTGGGTCACCGTATGGACTTGTGCCGGTGCTAGTGCGACTGGCTCGACAGGCATCCGTGCAACTCCAAGGCACAGCCATGCAACGACACCTCCGGCAGCCACAGTTTCAGCGAACTAGCACAGAAATGGTGCAAAGCTTGTCCGTCAACCCTCTTGCATTTGGCACTAGCAACTCGTTTGAGATCAACCCAAGCTCTCAAGCAGAGAGTTAGGTCGCCACCTTATCTCGGCACGCCTAGCTACGACAAGCCCACGCTGCCACACATCTGTTTTAAGTGACTCCACCTAGCCTGCAGCAAATTCGTGGGCAGCCGCTCTGGATTTAGCACGGTCCTCACTCGGCGTGTCTTGTCTACGCTGCATTCGACCTTGAGTTTGGGTGCAGGGATGGTGCGTTTGCCAGTGTCAACCGGAAGTGATGCCGAGGCCGCATTCTGCAGTCTTCTCCTGAAGTTGACCTAGGCCTTTAGCTTTGCCTTGCGCTGCAGAAAGCGTCAGATTCCTTCCGTGGGGCCTTGAGAGGCGGAGTGCACCATCCAGGGTCGCTGACCCTGCAGCTGCAGGCGAGAGCTTCTAGCTGCAAGCAACATTGCTCCAGAGAGAGCACCAGGTGAGCATAGAATATATATATATATGTATATATATATATGTGTATATATATATAATAGATATATATATATATACATATATATAAGGTGTTTCCTGTGTGACATCTTTGCTGCCATCGCGTCTCGTGGCCCTCTCGTGATGCAGCCCATGGATCTGTGATCAAAGCAATCCGTAACACACCCGTTTCGGAGGCAGCGGAAGGAGGGTCGGGATTGGTTCAGCCGAGCAACCATCTGGCTGCATCATTGGTTGGTAACAGGCTTTGGGTGTGGTCGGCTGGTCTGTCTCATGTCCTGTGGTGTCAGCTAACTAGCTACATTTGCTTACTTGAGTAGAGTTACTTTCATACTGTTTACTGTTACCGGTGAATGAGACACTATCTGGGTCTGAAAGCTCTTTTGCAGGTAGTTGCATATTCGTCTTGGACTATTCTTGCTGAAACTGTGTCTCGTGGCCGTGTTGTCGTAGAATGTTTTTGCTTCCTTGCATTTTAGTGTAACTCACACTATTCAGCACTATGTAGGACTACACTTTAAGAAGGCTTCCACTAAATCTATTTTCAGATTGACAGGTTGGTCTCGCCTGACATTTGCGTTTTGCTCTGTTTTCACACTTCCTGTCATGGATTCCATCACGCTGAGTGTTGCTGCTATTGTCATGGTTGGCATTCTTGATGCTGATGGCGGCGGCAACCCACTGCTACAGCGCTGTATGATGTTGTATGCTTGAGGCATAGTACAGGCGGCTCAGACCAGGTTTATGATGAGCCTGATCGTGCCAACCGCTGCAAAATCAGGACGTTATCAGCATCTGTGTCTGTGTCCTCTACGTCCCCTCTCATCTAAACTGTGACTGCAATTTGAAGCATGCCTTGCGGCCGGCAGGCTATTTGATCATTTTGCTTCTGTACAGCCGGCATGACAAGCCCTCCGAAGGCTGGACTCATGCCCACGAGTAAACTCCCGTATGTGGGCTTCTGATACGGAGGGCACAAGTTGATGCTGATCATCATGCGACTTGAGGTAGTTGTGCAGGTTTGGTGAGATCTCCACTTCGTGGTAGGTCCTTGAAGAGGACGGAGCACACGTCGGCTCAGTGAAAGCAGTGGCCTCAGAATAATCTGCGAATCAATCGATGTAATATTCTTGGCGCCCCTCAACTCTGGGAATTAAGGCGGGTGTTGACTCGGTGCAGACCACAGACGTCGGCGATGCGGAGCCGGCATCCCTGCCAACATCTGCCAAGAAGATGCAAAGTCACTCTTCACACAAATTCCACCCTATTTTCCAGGGCCTACCCCCTTGGCAGCATAGCACATGCGTTTGCCGAGTCTGACTGCCACTGCGTCACTGGATGAGTCGGCAGCCAGAAGCTTATTTGCTGTATGCGCTGTCAAGTCTTTCTGTATCCTGTGCTTCCTTCTTAATATAAAATACTATACGAAAACTATAACTATAACTATAACTTAATATAATATATCTTGCAGGCAGCCAGTGCCACGATTGGGTCTGGCCTGGGAGGACCTGTGTCGAGTCAGCACGCGGTGTCCTGTTCCGGTGGCGTCCCGAAACTTTGGCAGAACCATCGTCGGAGCCTCCTGCTACTGCTAAGCCCTCGCAGCCAGTGGCTGAGTGAGGGGAGACTCGGGTGGCGCGTTTGGCATCAGCAGATCATCGAGGCCAAAGCCGCAGCCAGTGACAGTGAGTGAGAAGCTTACTTGACAGAAGCATCAGGTGAGAGTCAGAGGCCACAGTCCAGTGTTTGTCCGAGGTGCTGCACCAAAGACATTAAAGGTCCGCGGCGGGTTATTCGGAATCTACCTTGCATGAGAAAGTCTGGCAGTGCTGCCCGTCTTCCCGACGCAGGTGCTGACGTTTCCACGTCTTGTCGCAGCTAGTGAGATACTGGAGGACCGTTGCTCGCAGCACGTGGAGTTATGTTGTCAGGTCCATGTTTGATAGTCGCTGAGGACTCAGATGACGAGTTCCTCTATTGCGGCCCACATCCAACAGAGGAGCCGGAAACCCAGTCATCCAGTCTAGGTCTAGGGATTGAGGAGCTGAGTATAACAGTATCCCCACGAGGTCAGTGACTTCGGAAGCCTATCTTATCAAGGCGAGCTGTCCTACGCAAGCTTGTTGACAAGCGAACTTGAAGCATTGCATCCTCTCTCTCCATGTCTGCGGTGTTGCTTCATTGCCCCTGCTGTAAACGCTCTGATGACTCTGCAACATTGTGTGAGGCTTGGATGCTGGGACCTTTTGAAGAGGATACGCAGAGGAGCGGCTGAAATTTGCGAGAGGGTCGCTGAAGCACATGTGGAAATGAAGACAACGCTTTTCAAGTGATGGCAAGGAAAAGACGCGAACGCAGAGAAGAGGTGCGCAGTGGATGGTTGCTGCTTGTACTCTGGTCAATCCCATTACTATGTCTTTTGTAAGGACCGGTATCCACGATTGTTCCTTATTTGCTTGGACACTCTCAACCTACTCGTTGCGTGGGTTCCCCTAATTTGCCGTGTGGCGTGTAATCACCAGCTTGGGATTCTTCAATGGTGTGCTGTGCTGCGACGCGTCTAGCAGCTACTTACCACGGAACAGTTCCAGGGCTTACTACATAGCTACACTTCATGTGTACATACGGTTCGATTTGTGCAGATGCTGTTAGGGCAGGCTGCAAGCTTTTCTGAAAGGTAACATGCCGATATGTGTGCGTGTGCAGAGAGACGGATGGAAGACAGACAGACACAGACGGACCTGCAGACTACAGTCACACATTGATGCCTGCGTGCCTGCTGCCTGCCGGCTTGCCGATCTCCCTCGTCACCTCACCTACATACCTACCGACGCCGCCTGCCTGCCTACCATACTGACTCCCGCTCTCGCTCTCCCTCCCTCTCTCTCTCTCTCTCTGTCTGTCTGTCTGTGTCTGTGTCTCTCTCTCTCTCTCTCTCTCTCTCTCTCTGTCTGTCTGT